GCAGATATTGAATGCATAATAAATGAATAAATATTAAAAAAAAGAAAATGAATAATATAATTAGATTTCAGTTGTAGATTACAGTAAAAAATAGTATACAGATTCACATAATATACTTTGCATATTTTCCACAAAAATCATTCAATCAAGAATGTGTACAATGTTTGTGAAAGAATAAAGATGTTGAAGAGAAAAAGCCAAAAACAAAAGAGGAAAATATAGGCAACTTTTAATCAAAAGATGAAAGTAAACTTAGGCAAGGAAAAGTGTCATCTTGAGCAATGTTACCCAGCTGCCTTTGAATGTATTTGTACAGAAATTAAATAAACACAAACTTTACAACTTTCACAAAGATATCTCAAAGTGACCCTTAAACTCTTGTTTCTGACCCTCAGTTATTGATATGTCTTTCAAAGACAGGAACCTCATGATATAGATGTTCTCTTTGTAAATGGAGATCTCTTTCTATGGCTTTCCAGATCTTTGGGCTTTCTTCTAGTTTCAGGTAAATGCAGTCCCACTGATGGCCAATCCTAAAACAACCTAGAAAAATGATTTAAAATTTGCTTCCTGCTACATGGAATAATGCAGAAGATGTGAATTGTGCCCTATCTACCTGTCTAATACAATGCACACCTGGGAAATCTCTGCACATCAGAAATTCCTTTTGTCCCCTGGAACTAAGCTTCACTGGATCACACCATTGCAGCTAGTGGCAGCATCATGTTATAAGCATTCTAATCATGCATTGCTCTGCCAGATCCTAAGCTATTTGTAATCTTTATAACACAAACCTGAAATTGGAATTCAATATTCAGATCTTCTGGAATGAAGACCTTCAGTTTTCTAATCTCTCTTCCCACTGCACAGCTAAAGCAGTGCCCATGTGTATACTCTGGACAGAGATACAACCAACATCCTTCCATTTCAGGGCTGCAGAGGCTCCCCCACCCCAGTAAATTCATACATAAGGAGGCTCAGGGAACAAGGGCCACTGCCAACATGAACCACATGGACCAACAAAACTACAGTCTTGCTCTTGGTACTTCCAATTCACAGCAGAGATGACAGTTCAGCAGACCTGCACTGAATACCCAACACTCACTATGTGGTCTTCCTTACCACTCCCTACAGCACAGGCAGAAGAGAATCATGGAAAGAACCCACAAGCTGTCTGCCACTAGTACTCCCCATTGCTAACCCTTCCCAGAATCCCTCACTGGCTAGGACTCCCCAGCTGGGCTTCACAAAATTAGCAGCTCCCCTACTAGAGGATCAGAGATCAAATGACTCAGACAGCATAGTCCTTCTATTACTGCCTTTCCAGTCAGGCTTAGAAAGTTTGTATTTAGTACACATAAATTCCACTCTCCTAAAGCACATCCTGTTCCCCATCCACAGCACAGGGTCCTTTGTGTGCACATTCCATTACACACTCACTTTCCAGTGCAGCCATCCCATTGGTTTAGAACTGTGAAATCCTGCAGACTTTCAAAAAGTAATTACTGTTACTGTATAACTTTTGTTACTTTGTAATTGTTAAAGAAAAGCAGACAAGGAATTAGACAACAATCAGAATCTTGTTAGGGCTTGGAGGCAGCATAGAGAATGAGAATATGATGCAGTTTTGATCTCAAGAATAATTTTGAAAAGTTGAAACAGACTTTATGGCCATGTGCTCCAGACACTAGGCATTTGTATTAGAGCACAATAAAAATGTCTCATATTTTCTCTAAACATGAATATCTTAATTCAGATAAGTAATAGTCCTGTTAATCAGGGCCACAACATTTTACCCAGATCTTCTATTTTAGATGAACTTCTATAAATATAGCAATTAGATCAGTCCCTTTCACAGATTCTTGATTGCCCTGGTCTGTGGACTGCAAACAATGGTCAATCAGGACATTTCATCAAGCATCTACAATTGACTACCTGATTCCACATAGCTAATTTCAACTACTGTTGAATGGGGAAAGCTCTCACCCTCAGGACAACGTCTCCTTTTCTACACTGTGTCTCCACCAGCCTCAAGTTGGTCAATGAGCTCAACCTTGTGCAGGTCCCTCTGCTTTTAACAAAAGACAGGAAAATTAACAGATATTTATTAACTGCTTTATTTGTCTTTCTCACTGACTTGTCAAGGCCAAACCTGGAAGGAGTTACAGGACTGTTTTCCCAGCACTGGGCAGCAGAGGTGTTTAAAATGTTTCTCAATTACATAGCATGAGGCAAGCCTAAACTATAGGAGACATTGCTCTACACAGAAAAGAACAACCAACATCACTTGAAAGAAATAAAATGCAACTCTTAATGACTTTGGAACATTGGAGAACAGAAACAAATAGAGAGAAGCACAGCAATACACTTAGAAAAGTATTTGAAAATGATACCCAAAAGGATTTTTAAAATGATAAAATAATGCACTCTTAAGATTGAATAAAACTTTCTATATTGACTTTGAAAAGGAACAGGCCATTCTATAGTAAAGTGAATGTAATTAATAAGAGATAGGTTACAGATCTCAGCAGCCAACATATCAATATGGGCAACATCAATCTGTCACATAGAGTTAGTCAATGGCCTATTTCTCAAATCTCTGAGCTTACATAACTGTGTCAAGCAAGATCAATCATATCTGCAAAGGACAGTTGCCTAATTGCAAATTCAATGTTCATTGGCTCAAGATAACCTTCCCAATCTGTACACCCACACAATCTGGTCTTTGTTCATTCACATGACATTAATAAAAATAAAACATGCTGGGAAATTACAAATTTACTCAACCTGCTACAATTGGGCCCTTTTTCATAATGGTGACAACAGCTGACTGCCTATGCTGTTTTCCCTGTCGTGCACACAACAAACTTTCCTCTATTGAGATCTGAAGACAGAAAGAATTCTCCAGATGCACATCCTTTTCCTGTGACTGCATTGGATAGTCAACTACATGACTCAAATGCATAATTTTAAAACTATAGTACAGTCATCTTTTTAAAGAATTTTGAAATTGTAGTATAGAGGACAGCAACGTCATTGCCCTGGACAGCAAGAGAGCAAGGCCACCTAAGTCAACATTAGTGAAGTTGTCTCAGAACCTATTTTTCTAACAGGACAGAAATGCAGCTCTTCTAGAATTATGCCTTTCCATTGAGAAATCACTTCACAGAATTAGGAGATTAATAAAGAAAAAACTCCTTAATGATGGTATACATCAATCTCTGGCTAATGCTCAGAGAAGAGCCAGCTAGACAGATTCCACATAGGCTGTTGTCCTTAAGTGTCCTTTAGGTTCAGGCTCCAGGTTACACTTTGAACAATTGAAAAAGAAACAGGCAAGAATGCCAGGCTAGACATTTATGCAGATAGAAGAGTTACAAAGCAAAGATATTCCCAGGATAACTTCTTAAGTACACTGGTAACCTGAATCAGCAGGTCATTATTCAGTGACAGGGTCCTGAGGTGAAGGTCACAGGGGATGAAAAAGATAGGAAAAGTAAAACATAAAAAAGATAAAAAGCTAGGGTGGGGAGGTCTTGCAGATGCCTGGTAAGCTTCCTAAGAAAAATAGCATCTTGCTGTTGGTGGCCCATGCCTTCAATTTCAGGACTTAGGAGGCAAAACCAAGTGATCTCTGTGAGTTCAAAGCTAGCCTGGTCTGCAGAGTGAGTTTCAGGATAGTCAGGACAGTCCTACAGAGAAATACTGATTTAAAAAAAATTGAAATTAAAATTAAAAAAAAGAAAAAGAAGAAAACTAGCATCATGTATACTTCCAGGAGTAAATGGAAGATTTATAAGAAGTCAGTAGAAACTATTAAACAAATTTAGTAGGAGGCTAGTCAAACAATTCTACACAAGGAAAACATAGGGTATCTCAAAAACTTTACTAAGTGCAGAGTGGCCATGGGACTGATAACCATAGCTCCATATGGTGGGAAGAATTGGGTTCTTAGGATCTGAAGCAACAAAGACCTTGGCACCAGACCATTACCAGCTCTTCAAACCTTATTTCTGGTTTTAGAGAAGGAACTCTGTTTTATTATCAATACAACGGATCCTTAGGGAAACTCACAAGGCTTAGGCCCCAGGCTGTTTCTAGGTCTCCCGAGAATGTCCTTCCTCCCTGCGTGAGGTCCTAAATGAAAGCCTTGATTGATCGGTAACTCCTTCACACAACAATGCTTCACATTTCAAATATATGTCTCTTGGTGTCATATTGCCCATATAGAAGAACTGTGCTTTCTTTTCTCAAGAAGAAAACTGGAACTTTAAGACCTGTCAGGCCTTAAGGTTGGTTGGGACCCTGTAATGCCTCGTTAAAAAGCTTGTTAGAGGATTATACTTTGATATGGAGATGTGGCTGGTGTCTGTTTTGAAATCAGTGGTGGCTTCTTTGTAATGGTTTGGAGCCAAGTATCCGGACAATCGAGTTGAACAATGTGTACCCTAGCATCCTAAACTCTAACAGCCCTGATTAAAACACATTTATCTTTTGGATGTTTTAGAGGCAGTCCTCCCTCAGCTAAATTCTACTTTGTGAGACTGAACTATTTCCAAAGCATTGGCAAATCCTTCATATAACCAACTCTACTCTTCTACGTTGCAGCTAAGAAGTGCAGTGCTGCCTAACAGGTGAGATGCCCTGATAACCTCCACATAGTTAAATATGAATGGAGATTGTATGTAAAGGTTAAATGCAAAGTGCTCGATATCGAGAAGATACTTGAAATACTAAGCCTCTTCGAGTTTGGCATATTGAAGTTGAAAGAAAGATATCTGTACACACAGCACCATGCTCCCAATTCTCTAAGCAGATTAAGCCCACAGCGCAAAGTTATTCAAAGTTCTGTCCCTAGGTCTACGAATTAATAAGGACCGCATGGAACACAGGGAATCTTGCCGCAGGTTTCCACACGGATCCCGGGAAAACGCACCATGCTGTCTCCCGCACCTCACCCTCTGCTCCTCCCCATCTGGAGACAGCATTCCCCCGCTCACCATGTTGTGGTTCCCCAGATCGCCAAAGCTCTCAGTTCATCATCTCCCTGCAGCAGCAACTTTACTGCAGCACAGGAAACCGGGGGTGCCAGCGCCTCTGCAAAGTCTGAAGGTGCCCGGAAGAGTCCTGCAACGCTTCTGACTGGCAGGTCACCTGGAGAGCCTGATTGGCTACTGAGGTCTGAGTGACAAGATCACCTCCGATAGGGCTGTAGCGTGCTTAAAGACACAGCGTAGGGGTTCCTCTTCATTTCTTCCACCCCAGGGAATGATATTTTCCATATCGGCCAAGATATTCATTTCAATAGCACTTGCCCCTGGCTACAAAAGCATTCACTGTCATAATCTTGTACTCCATAGGAACTTTCCCTTTTCCCTCCAGGACACAACATAGCCAGCTGGCTTGTACAGTGCACTGTGCTAGGTGAGTGCAGAGATTTCCTGTCCCACACAGGGAAGGGTGCACAGAATATTAACAGCTAAAGAGAGTTTTAAGGTCAGAAAAGGAGATACTTGTTCTGTGGCTTCATGCTGAGGTCAGATGAACTGAAGGCAATTTTTTACAATGTTTTCGCAGGGATTTCACACAACACAAAAGACAACAGCAGGAACCAGATCTCAAGCAAGATGATAGGTCTTTCTCCCATCAGAAGGCTGAATGACGAATCCGGTGCTTTACAGGTTTTATTCCTGAAATCCAAAGCAAACTTCAAGCAAATGAATAATTAAAAAAAAAAAAGAGTACTCTTCATGGAAATTTGGATACGTAGAGAATGATAGAGCCAGGAAGAATGTCTTCATGAGTACTACTGTCAGCCAGCACATCTCCCTCCGTGCTGAGGCGAATAAAATATACAACTGCAGTTTTCAAGATTCTCTACATGAACAGGACAGGTAGGATGAATCTCACCATTTATATAAAAAGTGGGCTTATTAGAATTTCTGACAAGCCATGGTCCAAGACATCTAAAAGTAGCTGCCTACCAAGGAGAACTGCAGACTTCAGCAGATTGCTTCTCAGCCTTTTGTCAAAGATCAAGTGAAGAATCCCGTAGTTGTTAAGCCCATGAGCCTCGATGTCTTAGTTGGTTTTAAGTATTCACCAATATTTCAAAGAAGTAGGCTCTAAGGGTAGTAAGGAAATGTGTATAATAGCCGGAACTAGAGCAGGGAGACAAGACAAAACCACTTTTCTTCTTCTATATATTTTATATGTGACTGCTGATACCAGGTGAGAAGGTTAAATTCGATCACAGTCTTTGTTTGATTCAGATTTTTTTTTTTTGGTGATTTAAAGACAAGATTTATCTGTGTAGTTGTGGAACTCATTCTGTAGGTCAGACTGGTCTCAAACTCAGAAAATTCCACGACTTCTGACTCTTGAGTGACATTGTGAAAAGTGTGCACTGACACCAAGACGTTAAGTTGGATTCTATCATCTCAAATTATCCAGGTTAATATAGGATTTTCCCATTTCAAAACCTTTAAGTAAAATCTCTCTCAGGTATAATCAATTCTTTGTGTAGTAGTTAATCCCACAGGTAGTCAGTTTGACTACCAAAAATAGCCATCTCAACAGCCAACATAGAAGAAATGAGAAAAAAAAATATTGCCTGCAGGAGGCATGAAGTATATGAGAATTATTTTCAAAACAGTGCTTTTCTCACCAAAGGAAGCAAGGGCATTTTACTGAGGGAGTCTGGACATGCTCATGAAATGTCCTCCCTTTTCTTAAGCATGTTCAGTTAACAAATCCACTTCTGAACATTATCACAATGTAAAAACAGAGATATTTAGGGACATTCTTACCTCAAAGTCATGAAGGAACATATATAAATAACAAAAATGATGGAAAAATTGTCTCTTACATGTTCATATTCTACCACAAGGTCTTAGTTGAAAATCAAGTAATGACAGTGTAAAAGTAGATTGTTAATCTTGATGTTTGATCTAAAAGATAACTGTACCAACACCATAATTCTCATAGACACAGAAGATGGAGAACACAAAACCAGAAAACTTCAAGAAAAAGCCCTAAATACAGTGCTCCTGCATAAATGGTTATACTGATCTCTATTAATCTCAGAGCAAAACTGCTTTTGCTCTGAGCAGAGTGACTAGGAAGAAGACCACAGCCGCTTCAATGCAAGACAAGAAGAAGTCCATTTTAACTAGTCCTGGTTAGCTGTCTGCCTCAGGGTTCTGACATCACTGAGGAGAATTTCATTCTTTCTTTTTTCTAACTTAAAAAAAATATTTAGTTATATGGTGTTTCACCTGCATGTGCCTGTTCACAATACCTACAGAGGGCAGAAGTAGGGATGGGACTGGAATTAGAAGAAATGATGACCTAGCATGCAGGGTCCAGAAATGGAATCAAGGTTCTCCTTAAAAACATTCAGTGCTCTAATTGCTGAGCCATCTATGTAGCTGTTCTTTTTAATTTAAAATTAGTCTTCAAAAATGGTTAGTTAAAAGACAATAGATCACTTTTTGTTTTTATCTTTTCATGCCATCCCTGCCACAAATCCCTTCCAACTTCATCCTTGTTAAGTGTGGGTGAATAAGTATGTTGAAATACATGAATACAACCTCCTGCCTCCATTTTTGCTGATTGTATACATAAAGGATAATGGACTGACTATTTCTAATTTGATAAACAGGGAGCTCATCCCTTCCTAAGACTAATTTTCTCAAATGAGGGAGAATACTACTTTTTAATCAACATTAGGTTTCTGACCCCGATTAGGCAGTCTTGGACTGGAATCATAATCAAGAATAGAAAAATTAGAGTGGAAAGTACCTTAGCAGTTAAGGGTGCTGAATATTCTTTCGCAGAATCCAGCCTCCATTCCCAGTACCGACAGAATCTCACTAATATCTGTTCTTCCAATATCAGGGGTTATGATTTCCTGGATTCCCTGGCTACCATAAAAAGAGGAGACTTGTGCCACAAAAATTATTTCTCATGCTGAGTGTGGTAGTACATTCTTTTAGTAATATTAATCTGAACACAGTTGCAGGAGGATCACCACACTTTATAGTTTATGCTACATGGTCTACACACACACACACACACACACACACACACATGGGAAGAAGAAAACTAAAAAACATGCAAGAAAAGGAACACTGGAGAATTGGAACCATATAGTACCTCTTAAATCCATTCCAAGAGTCTGCTACTGCTGCCCATATAATTATATTGAAAAATAATTATAGTCAGGTATGTGTGTGCGTGCCATTAATTCCAGTCACTGGGAGAAACTGAATATTTGACAGTGGGTGAACACTTTACCATGTGAACTATAATGCCCATCATGAGCTGGGTATTATCAGATCCATCAAGTTATAAAGTAGGACATGTACACCTGTAATCTGTTATCAAATGGAAGTGGTATATAAGAGATCAGGACCAAGCTGCTCCGGAAGGCACAAGTGTAGTGGTTTACGTAAAATGCTGCAGATCCCCCAAGTGGCTGCAGTGGTCAGCAGGCCATGAGATGGCGCCACAGCTCCCCAAGTGGTGGCAGACAATGGGCAGCAGGTCCTGAAACTACAGCAGGCCTTGGAGGCAGCCAGTTTCAGGCAAGGAACAAGTCCCAGGCTTGAGAGAGAGACAGAGAGAGGGAGAGAGAGAGAAAGAGAGAGAGAGAGAGAGAGAGAGAGAGAGAGAGAGAGAGAGAGAGAGAGAAGATGGGACTCAGGTTGGAAACTGAAGATCAGCTTGCCTTGGCAGATGGGGAAGGGAGTAGGTGTGGCTTGTCTCTTAAAGGGGGTGGAGTGGGACTTGTACCTTACAAGGTGCAATAGAGAGGGTGGTGGTTTTGGAGCAGCCTACCTGTAGGAATCTTACCGGCAGGCTGGCTAGAAAACCTGATGCAGGTCAAGGAGGGGCCCAGGGTTCTGTCCTGGTGCCAAGGGCCTGGAGAGTCGGGTAGGGTAGGCTGGGTAGGCACTCACTCACCTCTTATGCCACTCTGTGTGATCTCAGCCTGATCTGAGTTTAAGATTCAGACTTTAAGTCTGAATTCTGCATATGAGTTTTTAATCTGCTGGGCAGCATGTCTAAGATTAATGCTGTATCATTGGTGACTGACTCCACAGCAATTGGTAGATTTCTGAGAGTCTAGCTTCATTGAGTGGGTACTGGAGACCAACATGTTATTATCACAACTCTCGAGTTTCTAGGTACATGTAGCCACCATGAAGCCTACACCTGTCTGCTCATAAACACAATTTAAGTGTTTGATGGCAGATCTTTTTAAGAGCTACAAGGTTTCTGCTTTTAATGCTGAGTCAGGAGGCCTCTCTCTCTCTCTCTCTCTCTCTCTCTCTCTCTCTCTCTCTCTCTCTCTTTTTGATTTTCGAGACAGGGTTTCTCTGTAGTTTTTGGTGCCTGTCCTGGAACTAGCTCTTGTAGACCAGGCTGGCCTCGAACTCACAGAGATCTGCCTGCCAGAGAGGGAGGCTGTAGGTACCAAGGTCTTTTTTTCCCTTCTCCTGGTGATTCGCAGGGCCGTGTGACCTCCGGCTCCCTGGAGATTCTGCACTAGCACTGGCTTGAGGGGTTAGTTTAGGAAGAACCTGGCTCTCTTTGTTATGGTGATTCCACCTGTATTCAAGGTTCTAGCAGTGGGCCCATAGCCTGGTGTCCCCCAGCTGATTCTGCCTGAGGCGCAGGGGCCTTTAATCTTCTCCTGCTTCTGTTGGGAGGAGGCCTTGCCCTTCTGATCCCGCTTGCCCACTTCTATAAATACCCGACTTGAGTTTAATAAAGTTGCCATTTACTCTTGGTAAATGAGCAAGGTCCTTTTTTGTGTGTGTCTGCTTTAAACCCTCAGGACAGTCGTCCATTCTCATGGGCCCGAGTTCAGGAAGGCGCGCGCATGGATCGGATATATCCACTGAAAAGCGGGTTCTAACAGGAGGCCTCTCTTAAAGGACACCTTTCTCTGCCTCTAGCAAACAGAGCCCACCTGATACAGTTCTATTACTACCAAGAAGGCATGTTTTGCAGGAAAATAAATGGAGCCAGAAATCATCATTTTGAGTGAGGTAACTCAGACACAGAAAGACAAGTATCACATGTACTCACTCATAAATGTTTTTAAACATAAT